AAAGTTATGGTCAAGGTTAAATTTTTTTTATAAGTTCGTAAATCTCCAAGGTCAAGGTCAAAAGGTCAAGGTTGTTGTTATCCAATGAAAGGTCTTGTCACAAACAATACATATGTGAAATATGAAAGTCCTAGTTCTCACTATTCAAAAGTTATGGCCAAAGTAAAAGTTAAGAATTTTTGTGTAAAAGTGGGTCAAACTCCAAGTTCAAGGTCAAATTTGGTGGTACCCAAAGAAAGGTCTTGTCACAAGGAATACACATGTAAAATATGAAAGTCATAGCTCCACTAAATCAAAAGTTATGGGCAAGGTTAAAGTTTTTGTGACGGACAGACTGACGGAAAGACTGACGGACAGACTGACGGACAGACAGACAGACGAATGAGATTTAATGTCCCCTCGCTTTCGCGAAAGCGGGGGACAACTAGTACTTTCTTTCAAGCAGAGTCTTGAAAATCATCGTATATTTTGACTTTAAACAACAATAATTGCTTTATGGTATGTTTCAATGATTAAAGAACTAACAACTATATATATATTCCTATCTTGTTATTAATCATCTGCAGAATAATTTTTTTCTGATTCTACACACATGTACGTACTCTCTCTATATATATCTCTCTCTCTCTCTGAAGTTGTTTTTATAACAATATCTGTATACATGTATGTAGTTTGTAGACCAGTTTTCCTAACAATCTTTTGAAATCCCCCATCATTTGCAGGATTTATAAAAAAAAAAATAGTATAGAGGAATTCCAAAAAAATACTGCGAATTGCCGAGGTTTCCAATTGCGTCATGTTCCTATTCCTATGTTGGTTGATATTCCGCGATGAACTCATAATAAAAGACTCAAAGACTGTAATAGCAATTTAATTTCTGATAAATGTGATGTCTTGAACTTCCGTTGTCTATATAACAACATAATTATCACCTGCATGTTGAGTTTACCGGGGGTATGTCTAACAGATGAGCGAAAGCCACGGACACTTGACTAAATATAATGTTCTCATTAGAAAAATGTAACCCCATTCCGAATACATTGTAATTGAATTAATATGTATATATGGATTGTACATATGATACGAAAAATATGTAACGCGTCAAGTGCCTATGGCACGCCAAATTCACAAAAATGAGCTAAACCTAGTTTCACAACTGATAAGCTAGGTTTATTGACTGTAAACTATAGTTTACAAACCGTGAACTATAGTTTATAATTCGTTAACTATAGTTTTCATCTGTAAAACTATATTTAACGGTTGTTAACTATAGTTTACGAATGCTAATCTAAGTTTATCTATGGCACGCCAAATTCACAAAAATGAGATAAACCTAGTTTCACATTTGATAAACTAGGTTTATCGACTGTAAACTATAGTTTACAAACCGTAAACTATAGTTAACGATTCGTTAAGTATAGTTTTCATCTGTAAAACTATATTTAACGGTTGTTAACAATAGTTTACGAATGATAATCTAAGTTTATCTGTCTGTAATAAGCATTAACAATAGATTTTGTTGATAAACATAGATTCACGTTTGTAAACTATAGTTTACGATCGTAAACTATAGTTAAGAGTTGTTAATCATAGTTTCACAAATCGTGAATCTATATTTATCAGATCGTTAAATATAGTTAACGGTTTGTAAACTATAGTTTACAAATTGTCAAACTGTATTTATCAGATAATCTATGTTTTGCAATCGCAAATGATTGTTTCCGGTGTTAAATATGGTTTACGGTTGTGAAACATAGATTATCGCGTTAACTATAGTTTACAGATGTAAAATATAGATTAACGTTGTTAACTATAGTTTACAGTCCGTAAACTATAGTTTACAACCGATAAACCTAGTTTATCGACTGTGAAACTATGTTTTGCTCATTTTTTGTGAATTTGGCGTGCCATATTTATCTGTCTGTAATAGATTTTGTTGTTAAACATAGATTCACGTCTGTAAACTATAATTTACGATCGTTAACTATAGTTAAGAGTTGTAAACCATAGTTTACAAATCGTGAAACTGTATTTATCAGATAATCTATGTTTTGCGATCGCAAATGATCATTTTTGGTGTTAAGTATAGTTTACGATTGTGAAACATAGATTATCGCGTTAACTGTGGTTTACAGAAGTAAAATATAGATTAACATTGTTAACTATAGTTTACAGTCCGCAAACTATAGTTTACAACCGATAAACATAGTTTATCGACTGTGAAACTATGATTAGCACATTTTTGTGAATTTGGCGTGCTAAACCTAGTTTCACAATTGATAAACTAGGTTTATAACTGTGGTTTACAGAAGTAAAATATAGATTAACGTTGTTAACTATAGTTCGGTACAGTCCGTAAACTATAGTTTACAACCGATAAACCTAGTTTATTGACTGTGAATCTATGTTTTGCTCATTTTTGTGAATTTGGCGTGCCATAAGTGCCTGTTACTAAATCATGTTCGTCGTTCAAATCTATTCTTTGAAAAGAGGCAGGTTATGTACAAACAAACGGATGACACAAATTAAGTACCTGCATCCTCTTTAAAGTCACTATTTCACAACTGTTATGGTCAATACATGTATAATGACTTTGATTGAAGATACAATCTCACATAGGATCGACGAATATTTACATTCATTCAAATTGTTACACTGTTATTTTAATGCTGAATTGATCGTCATTCATTCAGATTGTTAGACCGTTATTTTAATGCTGAATTCATCGTCATTCATTCAAATTGTTAGACCGTTATTTTAGTGTTGAATTGATTTCCTCGTTTATCCAGTCATAACGAGGATCACACATCTCTCCACATAACTCCGCTTCTTGAGCTTGGTTACTGTATGCTAACTTTATCTTCATCTTCATTCCAAATTAAGAATACTTACACACGTATATAGTTCAAGACTTTAGCAGTGTCAGTTAAGGATACCGCATCAATTGTCTCATAAGAGTAAAACTGAATTCACCATAAATCTGGAAGAAAGAGGGTTGTATTTCTCCACAAAAAATGCAAAGTAATGTGTAGTTACCAACTTACCCATGGTATTTTCTTAAATTTTCTTTTTTTAATTTCATTATATTATGTCAGAAAAAATATCAAAACTTTAAAATATTTTCAGAAAATGCTAATAAAAGTCGATTTTATAGGCATTTACTTTAAATCAAGCTGAGTTACATTTATGAAAAGTACCGGTATTACATGTACATGTACACGAAGAGATTTCAATTACGAACTTCATTTTGAGACATTTTAAAACCTATTTACATTTTTTCAAAATTCCCAATACTTATTTTCATCATGAACAGTAGGTTTAAATAGATTTTCGTCAACGGTTCAAATGGAGATGAAATTGAAGCATGAAGCGTTTCTTTTTCAGAAATGACTATTACGTCTCACAAAATGTATCCTGATATGAAGAAAAGGGACAGTAAATAGAAATATCAATAATTTATTTTCTTCTCATAAAAAATATGAAAACAAGAAGTGTTTGTGAAACACTGATGCCCCCGTGTGGTAGCTTATGGCGAGGGTTGAATTCTCTCAAATGCATATCAAATTCCAAAGGTCAAGGTCAATTAAACGTTTTGGTACCCAAAGGATCGAAGGTCTTGTTACAAGGAATACACCTGTGAAATATGAAAGCCCTATTTCTAACTCTTCAAAAATATGACCAAGGTTAAAGTTTTAAAAAGTGGATCAAACTGTTAGGTCAAGGTCAAAAATATTTAGACCAACTGAAAAGTCTTGTCACAATAAATACACATGTGAAGGATGAAAGCCCTAGCTCCAACTGTTATGGCCAAGGTTAAAGTGTGGTGTGTGCATTTTTTTTTTTTTTTGGTAAAAGTACTCAATAGTGAAGGAGTATGTTAAATTTTAGTTGACAACATAGAGACAAACAGACAGACGGGACAAAAACAAAACACCCCGGGATCTTTCGCTCCAGGGGCATAATAATAATATTTACTGCCATAATATTTTATTCGTATTGGAAAACACAATGAAGCGTGAAAAAAAATATGTAAAGATAACGAACAGTAAATTCGAGTTCAAAAGTCCATGAAACAATACAAAATAGAAGTGGAGCAAACAGTCGGACCTCCAAAACATCAGAGATGGGATCAGGTGCCATTGATGATCGAGCATCTAATGCCGACCGGTCACACTCTCCGTGTGCGCCTTTTCATGTTCGGGGAACAAAAAGAAAAAATCGCAGACAAGTCAGTGTGTAAATGATGGCATAACAATCAGTATGAAAAAAGGAAGTCTACTTTTGACATAATGATAAATACAGTATTTTTCAACAAGGTAATTGTATCGACCATAGAACTTGATGACTGCTGATATTCGTAGTTTAGAAATCATATAATTTATCGGAAGTCTATCATCAACAAACAATATGGCATCAGCATTGCACAGCATAAATTCGTAACCATATTCAAGTTGAGAACAAAATTAACTTAATTTATTGGCAAATTATATTCCAAATATATTATTCTACGTTGTGCTATGTGTACCTTTGTATCTAAAAAGAATAGCATAATTTTTTTGTAACTTAAAGTTCTTCTTTTAATCTGCTACACGTTTAGGGAAATTTAAAAAAATGTGTTGGCACGCAGCATCCTCTTTTATAGGAGTAGGCCTACCCCCTTTCTTTAAAAATAGAGACGGTCCTGATTTTTTATATTGTATCAGAGACATAGATAGCCAGCATCTGGCTGTTTCTTGGTAAGTTCCAACAATATCTGAAAGAAACATTTCACATTTGAAGCAATCCGGATAAAATATACGTACAGTCATAACTGTTCAGATTTGGAATTTATTTTGAATAAAATTATTTCCGGCAAATAACCTTCAATAAAAAAATTATTTAAAATATTTTACAGGAATTTTCCCTCTTGATTCTTTTCAAATATTTAAAATAAGTAAGCTTGAATATCAAATAGCAAAGACGGTTACAAATATACCATAAAAACCTTTTAATAGTAAAATAGTACACTCTGTTTGCAGCGGAGGAATACATATCAGATTGACGTGGCCGACTTGCTGGAACTTCCAGCTCGACAATAACAATATTTCGAGGTTTATTTGCCCTTTTCATATTGATAGAGTTGTTTATCTTCAAATTTCAAAATGGTACGTATTTTTCCTGATTTGATTATGGGGGAAAACGAATCTTTATACACTTATTGTTTTTCTGTAACCCAAAGAAAATGATGTTCTACAATTTGTTAAATATGTAAAAATTCATATAGAACTAAATGTGAGAATAGTTTCTCGAAGATAAGACTATGGAAAGAATAAGATTTGACGTTACTTTAAGAAAAATAGTGTAACATTATTTAACATAACTTAATACACTATGTAAATATCCGATTATCAAAAAGTTCGAATTTTCTCTGTTTCGGATACCGGTTTGCATTAATTAGAAATTGAGAGCATGCAAGACACTATACAAAAGAATAGATCATCATCTACATGTTCTTTAAGTAAATAAGCAAATCACTTATGAATTAAGTGAAAGAATTTGCAATTGTATTTGATTACATTTATACTTATAGAATAACAAATACTGTATCTTGTGTATATGCCCTTTTACTTGACTGCATACCTGAATTATTGCATGTTTCTTTAGACATGTCCATACAGTTAGCATATGTCCCATTGAGTTTCAGTGTAGTAAAATTAAGCAATATCAATCTGCAATTAATGTTAAGAATAGGCAATAAATATGAAATAATAATCAAATGACCATCTATGATCAGTTCAGTTATGAAAATCTTTTTTGAGCTTGTTTGTGTCTTATGTCCTTAAATTCACCTTTTCAGCCTAAATTCATAGTTTTTTGATTTGTTCACAATTAAGAGTGAAATGCTTTGCAGACTTGTCGAAATTTTTTAATCACTGTCAGACATTTGGTCTGAAATCGAATGTTCTGTCGGACGAGTCAAACTTTTGTCAGACCAGATACTAGTACCTTATTTTGATGCGGAAAAAGTTATATGAATAACAGCGCCAACATGTCCTTTGTTACTTTCAATAGCTTTCAATCTAACAAGTTTCCTTTCTTGGGATAGAGAGTCTTTAACATAGACATAAATGACAAGTTTTACAACTTTGCTATAACAAATTTACTTAGCTATCGTCAACATGCTGTGTACGCGGCCATTTTTTTCGTGTTTGTGACCATTAACTACGCATCCTGATCCCGACCTTCATTAAATTTGCACTATGCTCAATTTTTTTCAATCGGTCATCTGGACTGACGTTTTCTTAAATGTTATCGGTCCAGACAAATTTTTACCAGCCTTGCCGACAGGACCGACGGATTTCGACAAGTCTGGCTTTGTTTGTTTTGATACACAGCTAATGCATAGTAACGAATTATATTGCTAAACCAGGTGTGACAGATAGTGGCATAAATAATTTTTATTGATTAACTTTGTAGGTACTGCTTGCTGCAGCAGTTTGCAACAAGTCAGGCAAAGGTATGTTATCTCTAAAATTTCCCCCAAAAAAAATCAAGACTTCTGAAGATGAAGTGAATTTGAGAATTTGAAATCCTTAGTCCTTTGTGTAACAGTTCAACACCAATCTTAAAAGTTAGTTTGATCGTCTAATTGTTAAACATTTAAAGAGTATTTTTCAAAAAAACATTGTAATTCCTCTTTCCAGCAATAATATCTCGGCAATTTGTTGAGATGACAAGATCTCGAATTGAGGGACTGCTGGCAGCTTTTCCAAAGTTAATGAGTTCTGGGAAACAACATACATTTGTAGAAACTGAGAGTGTACGATATGTCTACCAGCCATTAGAGAAGCTCTATATGTTACTAATCACAACTAAAGCTAGCAACATTTTAGAGGATTTAGAAACTCTCAGGCTTTTTGCAAGAGTCGTAAGTATTATCTTTGAGTTTATCTGAAAGGGTGTTTAAAATTAACAGTTTCAAAAATTTACTTTTCTAAAGCCTGACTTCCTTTTGTGTATTTTACTGGCCAGTAAATCAGTTTTTTTTAAAATTACAGATACCAGAGTATTGTAAAAACTTTGATGAGCAAGATATTGTGGATCAAGCCTTTCCTCTGATATTTGCCTTTGATGAAATTGTTGCTCTGGGTTATAGAGAAAGTGTCAATCTTGCACAGATCAGAACATTTACAGAAATGGAATCACATGAAGAAGCTGTTTTCAAATCTGTGAGAGAGGTAAGAAAATGTTCAGAATGTATTACTTTTCACTGGCCAGGAAGAATCAAATAAATATATTTCATATAACTTACATTTTTTCAAAATTCTTTGGTGGTTTTAAAGGAATCTCTCCTTTGACTTATAGTTTTTTTTTCCAAGAGCATTGTAAATTGTTGTTCATGTTTCTACGATATTTAGACACAAGAAAAAGAAGCTAAGATTCAGATGCAGAAGAAGGCCAAGGAACTGCAGGCGGCCCGCCGTGAGAATCAGAAATCTGGACGAAGTGGAGGATTTGGTGGTGGCTTTGGAAGTGGTTCCTTTACACAGAGAGATAACCCTATTATTGACAGTGTTCCCATGGATACACCCAAACCATCATACACAGCACCTGCTAGGTATGGACTGAACAACACAGAACTAGATTATTCAAACATAGAGATGATAAA